AAGCAAAAGGAAGGCTTAGATTACTTTGATACTTATTCTCTTGTATCGAAAATAACTTCTATCCGGATGATAATTGCTATTGCGGCCTTGCGAAATCTGGAAATACATAAGATGGATGTAAAAACAGCTTTCCTAAATGGAGATTTGAATGAAGAAATCTACATGGAGCAACCAGAGGGGTTTACAACTCTAGGTTAAGAAAGAAAAGTTTGTAGACTGGTTAAATCGCTATATGGTTTGAAGCAAGCACCGAGCAATGGCATGAGAAGTTTGATAATGCTATGCTTTCTAGTGGTTTTAGAATCAACGAGTGCGTCAAGTGTGTATATGTCAAGGACACTAATGATGGATATGTCATACTATATCTATACATCGACGACATGCTCATTGTCTGTAGCTCTGATAAGATTATCGAAGCCACTAAGAATATGTTAAACTCGAAGTTTGACATGAAAGATATGGGTCTCGTGGATGTCATTTTTGGGAGTAAAAATTACTTGAACACCAAATGGACTTGTATTATCTCAATCTCATTACATTGATAAGATACTAGACAAGTTCAACAAGTCAGATACCACTGTGGCCAGGACTCCAGTGGATTTGAGTCTTCACTTATCCAAGAACACTGGTAATGGTGTATCATAGTTAGAATATTCTCGGATAATTGGGAGTTTAATGAATTTAATGACTTGTACGAGATCGGATATAACATACTCAGTTAGCAGATTGAGTCGCTACACGAGTAACCCAAATGCTGTCCACTGGAAAGCCATTTTTAAGGTGCTACATTATTTAAGGCACACTCGTGATTTTGGACTGCACTATTCTAGATACCCTGCAGTAATCGAAAGGTATGCTGATGCAAATTGGATATCAGATATGTCAGATACCAAGTCTACTAGTGGATATGTCTTCACTCTTGGTGGTGTAGCTGTCTCTTGGAAATCGTCCAAACAAACTTGCATTGCAAGATCTACAATAGAATCGGAGTTCATCGCTTCTGACAAAGCAACTGAAGAAGCAGAGTGGCTTCTCCGGTTTGTTGAGGATATTCCAAGATGGTCAAAACCTGTGCCTGCAATTTGTGTTTATTGCGATAATCAATCAACAATTGGCAGGGCACAGAGCAATATGTATAATGGTAAGTCTTGCCATAGACGACATAATACCATTCGACAACTACTCTCACAAGGTATTATCACTTTTGACTACGTGAAGTCAAAGGATAATATTGCGGATCCGCTAACCAAAGGGCTAACTTGAGAGCTAGTTGTAAAATCATCGAGGGGAATGGGCTTGCAGCCTATGACATTGAAAGGTATCATGGTGGAAACCCAACCTAGCTGAATGGAGATCCTAGGATCTAGGTTCAAAGGGACAACTAAAACATGTATATCTGTGTAAATCACTAAGAATGTTCTCCTTCTGCTCATTCCTATGGTGCTCGCAGTGATTGGAAGATGCAGGTTAAGCTATGCTTTTAATGACCATTAAGCGTTGTTGTGAAAAATTGAGTTAAAAGGTCACCTATGTGAGTGTGAAGTGGGGCCGCTTATATAAGGATTGGCAAGGTTACGTCCTTGAAAAAACACTTGCAGAACCAGGTGACGTGTTCATGGCCAAAACGAACACAGCAGTAAGAACTATACTGTGACTAGAATGGTCCTGTGTGAGATCTATTGTTTTAGTTCACACAAATGGCGAACATTTCAAGGCATTAGATCCACTGGTTTGCTAGTAATTCCCAATAGGTTTCACAAGCGAAGGTTCAAAGCTAAATGCTACCTATCCTATGCAGGATTGATTCGTTTTACTCTCTCTTTCCTCTTGAGTCTTAGTTTCCATTTTCATTCAAGTGGGGGATTATTAGAATTGAATGAAAAATATTGAATAGAAGTAATGAAAATTATTGAATAGAAGTCTCTTCATATGTTGTAATTCAAGTCCTTTCATGTTTTTAACTCCTTTATCAATGAATGGTTTAACTCTTTGATTAATGAGCTAGCTTTTCTTCCATTGGTATAAATAAGAGTCTCTCTAGGTTGGAAAATCACAAATGAAATGCAAGCTTCTTCCTCTAAGCAACAATCTTCTTTTTCTCACTTTCAAGTTCTTCCTCGTGCTTATAATTTCTTTGTGAGATAGAGTATATCACAACTAATTCGTAGACGGTTAAAAATCACAAGTGAAATGCAAGCTTCTTTCTCTAAGCAACAATCTTTTTTTTTTTCACTTTCAAGTTCTTCCTTGTGCTTATAATTTCTTTGTGAGATAGAGTATATCATATCTAGTTCGCAGGCGGTTAAAAATCACAAGTGAAATGCAAGCTTCTTCCTCTAAGCAACAATCTTCTTTTTCTCACTTTCAAGTTCTTCCTTGTGTTTATAATTTCTTTGTGAGATAGAGTATATCACAGCCTATTCACTGGCAGTTAACGTAGTGCAGCGTGAACCAACAACCGATTGTATCCTAGGAATCGAACACCGATCAAAACCTCTTGCACTCCGGTGAGGCGGTGAATTCGATTTAAGGAAACTGTGAATACACAGGCTTTCGGTTTGATTTGATTCTCTAAAATTTACCTACAGGAAGTATCATTCCCATCAAAGAAAGTAGTTGCAATTGCATCCCAAACCTCCTTGGCCGTAGAGAACCGTATGAATTTGCCAATAAGTGTGGGGGTCCAGCGAGCTTATTATTCATCCTTTGACAATCGCAATTTCTGTGCGCCATTTGCGTAAGGATGGGTCGGTCGATGACGGTGGAGGTGCATCTCCATTCAAGTAACAAAGCTTGTCTTTTCCATCTATGTTCATCTCCATAACTTGAGACCATAGAGCATAGTTGGAGCCATCCAATTTGATGCCAATTTGGGGCGAAGGTTCTGTAGTTGGGTTTGGTGTTTGTGCCTTGTTTAAAGCCTCAGTCATGTGTGTTGTGAGTTCTGTAAAGAGCGTGTTGGTTTGGGGTGGTAGGTGGTTGAGGTTCTCTGGGTCAATAATGTCTTCCATGTGTATGTATAAAGGATCAAGAGAGCACAGCTAGAATATGGCTACAGAAGTTGCTGGATCGGGTACCATGCTCTGATACCATGTAGGAAATATATTCTTTTTCATTTTTTTTCCTTACAATGAGAATGGTACAGTTAAATAGGAAGAGGTACAAGCCTATTTTTGGACTATACAATTTTGTGTGATTTAATTCCCTTTGATGAAGGAATTACAGCCTAAAGTAGATTGATTTTGTTGCCTAAAATTGATCCCTAAAATTGCTCCTCACAGCTCACAGTAACAAATACTAGCGCAATAAAAGTGACAACTTTTCTGAAAATTGCTTAAATTACAATAACAATAAAGTAGAAAAATGGTGTCAACTCTACACATAGAAAAAGGCTAAAAAACAACCATTTATATTTCTTTTTCTCTTTGCATACGTATTTATTTGTATTTGACACAGAAAGTTATGACTATGATTGCTAAGAAATATTGCATAAATGGTACTTTAACTGTATAAATGGATAAATATTATTAGTATCCTTTTATTAAAATAGATATACTTTTCATGGTAAGAGTGGATGAAAATCACCCAAAAGGATTTTTCGTATGTTGAGGGGGTCATGCCAAGAATAAATGGTTAACGAAATACAACGCTATACATTAGTATAATTGGTAAGCATCTTAATAAAATAAACCTTAGTCCACAGGCTAATGAAATGAATATAGTGTTATGAGACAATATATTGTGTTAGGTTTTAGCATGAAAAATATTATTTTGCTTTTGTTGGGTGGTTAAGAAAACTAGTGGAAGCAAACTTCTTATAATTGTATCTCAACAACTTTTAAGCAACCAAAAAGCAATTAAAAAATAGGGTTTCGTACTTTCATATGTTTCGTAGAATAAAATATGGTTGAAAAAATTATTTAATAAAGGAGTGGATGCACCAATCTAAATTTCTTTGTCGTTACAAATTTATGTAAAGAATTTAAATTGGAAGCTGTTATATGTACACCGGTGTACAGTTCCTCTCACAAGGGGGTCCATAATTTTTTTATTCATCATGAACCCCCCTGTTGTGAGGAGTCTATGCACTGGAATTGACATCTCAATGTACAAATAGATTTATCTATTTAAATTAGACAAGTAGTGTTACATAATTTTTAGAAAATGAGCCAATACTTTTGTTATCAAACCGTCATTTTTAAGTTCTGATCCTTGTCCACGAGCAAATTATATGATACAAGTTAAATAATACATTAGTTTTTGAGTATTTCACTCGAAACAATAATTCAATTCAGATAAATTTTTGAAATATAATCGAGTACAACTTGAACAATTTCAATTTTATAGAAAAGTCACAAACTTATAAACAGGCAATTTTAATCATTTTCAAAATGCGACGAGAATATATTTTTTATTAAAAAGAAAAAAAAAAGTTACTAACTTTCCAGTTTAAATAAGAATTGTAAGTTTGGTACACCGTATTGGATAATGGATATGATTAGAAGGTATATGATTATGCAGGATAGAATTAGGACGGCTACGATTACAGTGGTTTAAGATGTATATATCTACTTTGTACTAGAAAACCGTACAGGTAATGGAAAAAAAATATTTATGACTATTTTTTATTTACTTATAACTATATATTTTTGTTTGTAAGTAAATTTTGTAGTTAAATAAGTAATTTTCTTGTATATAGCTTATATACTAATAAGTAAATTTATGTATTTTAATTCACCTAATGAATTAATAATCCAGTCTAAATCTACCTCATAAAGTGTATTAATTATATCCGGTTAGCAAAATGAGGATAAACACCCCGAATAAATCAATTCATGCTCGACCAAGTAAAGAAATTAAGGTCACTCTCTTACCACCACCCTCACATTTGGATTTGTAGTTATAAATTATGAGCGATGTTATCAAAATCAGATCAGATCGACCAGTTCAACTGGGAAAATCTAACAGTCAGAAACCGGTCATAGGTCAAAACCCGCACAAGAAATAAAACCAATATTTATTAGAATTTAACAGCAAACTCTCACATTGTTTCCCATACAATGACCTGCATGGAGGCCTCAGCCTTTCATAATGTAGCAAAATAAGGAAATGTCATACAAAGCTAAATAAAATAGGAAAAGGGAAGTAACATCCGTTTCCAAAGAGGATACATGTACCATAATTGTAGAGATAAGACAACGGCAACGTTTCACTTCATTAAAACACGGTGGAAGAAAAAAATGGAACCTGGATCGTGCATTAAAGTGAATCAGTTGGCTTCATCTCCTTCATTCTTTGCCATCAGCAGCACGAAGAGAACCGAGTTGAACTGGAGCTTGCGTCCCCACAACTTTTGACGATCCATATGCAGATGTATCAGTGCCCCGACCCTTCTCCTTCTCGATTTGCTCCTTGATCCAGAAATATGTGATTCTCAGTCCATCCTGCAAGCGCAATGAACATACAGATATGATCAACGAGTTACATGTTACAAAGGGTTCAGTCGATGGACACAAAAAGAATATTGGAGAAAACAATCCAAACATTTCACCTTCAATCTCATAGAAGGAGCCCACCCAAGCTTTTCCTTAATTAGAGTGTTGTCCGAGTTTCGTCCACGTACACCCTCGGGTCCGGGAATGTGATGGATGGGGAGCGTTTTGTTCTCAAAGCTCAGGACAATCTCAGCCATCTCATTCATGCTGACCATCTCATCACTTCCAATGTTTACAGGCTCTCGGAAATCGGATTTTGTCAATCTGAATGAATAAAACAATTCATTTAAGCTGCGAAAAATGTAGCACATTTCTGAAACAAAACGTTCAAGAAATTCTAAATTTTATCTTGACTAGATCGCAAACATGTGTAGAAGTATTTTTCTGGAGTAAAAATATAATGAATACAGAAGCAAGTCGATACATGCCTATAACCCAAACATTATGTTGCCCTTTTTACTCTGAACGGGAAAGTAGTGGATGAAAAGCCTTTTTAGCAAGGTTATCCTAACAAGAAATTCAAGCACCAACAGTAACATAAAGATCATTCTTGTTTTGGAGCTATATCAGTCGAACAATGCTACTTTTACCAGTATCAAGATTATTCATTCAAACAACGTTTTATACTATTCATTACGAGAAGAGAGTCATGAACTTTAACACATTCTAAAACAAAACATTGTCCATTAATGTCAGGAGAATGTCATCCATGAGTCCAATGTACCTTAGAACACCCTCAACGCATTCATCAATAAAAGTGAAAGATCGCGTTTGTAGACCATCTCCCCACATTTCAAATTTATCCGTGGATGTAAGAGCTTTCCTACAGAAGGCAGCAGGCGCCTTCTCCCTCCCACCTGTACCAATTTATGGAAAAAGTCGACAAAATAAAGAGAATGCGCTGCGAACTTAGAAAAAGAGAGAAATATTACAACTTTCCTCCGTGTCTTCAAGTTTACCTTTCCATGTCCCAAATGGACCATAAATGTTATGAAAACGTCCAATTCGGCATTCGATTCCAAAATCCTTGTTATAGTGTTTACAGAGTTCCTCTGTTGCCAGCTTCTCCAGGCCATAAGCATCTTGAGGCTGAAAATAAAAATTAAATCTTGTCGATAACGTTAGAAAACCTAAAAGTGCACTCAATTTAAAAAAAAAAAAAAATACAAGAAAGCAAACCTCGGCAGGCCAAGCATCAGACTCCTTCAAGCTCACATTGGTATCCAACTGCTTAAATTCAGGATAGATACAAGCACTGGAGGCATAGAAAAACCTGAATCCGAATTGGAGAGATCAATATTCAGATTTTCACATCCAAATGCGCCTCAATGAATTTAATTCAAAGAAAAACTCGTCATCTTTAACACAAAGGTAATTTCATCTCAGGCAGGTATGTGGCGATCAACACATTTGATGGCGTTGAGAAATCAATTGTTTGCTAAAATAACATAATCTATTGAGAAAAGGGTATCTAATTATTGATTATTCAACCATTCCTAAGCAAATATTCTTACTTCAGTAACCTAACAAAAATGGTCTTTACTCTTAGAATCCCAATCATAAGAACAGTGACGAAAAAAACAATTAAAATAAAAAATTGTACAATAGACCATATTCCTAAATATAGTCTATTTAGTTTTGTTAATCACCAACAGAAGAAAACCAACATTACCCTCATAATTTTCAAGTTAATGAACACTGTCTCTGTAGCATGGACATTTTAACTAGAATAGCATGTTCATGGTGAATATGTGTTGAATACCGATACTCTTTGAATACTCTGTAATGATATTTTTTCTCTTCATCAAAAATACTATATTTTTCACTCAAAATTATTATTAAATAACAAATAAGTACTCATATATAAAAGATTTCGACAAGTAAAATTAATAACAAGTATAAAATTAAATTTATTCTATATAAATGAAGAATTTTAAAAAATTTAATCAAGGTGTCGACGACGTATCAAGTCAGTACTTTTTTGAAAAATCGCATGTCCGCGTGTTGGGTTGGATACACGTGTCCATGTCGGCACTTCATAGAATGCAAATGTAGTGACTAAATTTAGGATGTAAAGCTAATCAATCTTATGAGTGCTTGTATCAATTACCAGTATTCTACACATAAACCCAAATGCTGAATAAAATCAAGAAGATTAAAGAAATTGAACCTCTTAACTCCATTGATCCTTGCAGCCTCAATCATGTTAAAGCTGATCATCGTATTGTTATACATGATGACAGAGTGATTTGACTGAATAAAACCCATCCCTCCCATATCCGCAGCAAGATTGAACACATGATCAACTCCTTGGGTAACTTTCAGACAGTTATCCATCACTCTCAGGTCAACAAGATGGAATTCATGACAGAACATATCCTCCGTCATGTGCTCGTTTTTCTTCCAGTCGGAAGCAATAATATAATGACCTTCACTCTTCAGACGCCTGGCAATGTGTGAGGCAATGAATCCACCGGCTCCAGTAATGGAAATCCGGAGCTTTTCGGTTGGCCAGTAGGGTTCCCTCTCGAGGTTTTCATAGGTGTACGATCCATACTTGGCTTCACCTGTGCTTCCCATTCTGCAATAAATCGAAGACCAAATAAAACGGAGGCATTTCGCCAATATATATTTAAGAATTACTCTAGATAAGGGGAATAACACCAATTAAGAAAATTGATAGCTTATCAGGCAGTTGGGTTGAGAAGGACAATTATTACATCTAAAAGGCACTTCCATTAAACTATCTTATCAAAGAAGTCTACTAACCAACAACAGTGAGGAAACAAGTGTTGGCTAATCTTCCTTCTAGCATAATTCAACAGCAAAAACGCCAAATTCAAGCATACAAGAACGAGATGAAAAGCAAAGACAAATCGAACCCATTTGATTTATATATTTTCATAGACACAGAATAATTGACACAAGTAAATATAAGAAAATGTAAAAAGCAAAAGGGGAAAGAATCAAATTCTACATCCGACAATCCATAGACAGCTAAGACAGAATTCGATAATACAGATTTTTTTTAAATGATATAAAAACAAACGCAATGCACAAAAATTCAACAAAACTGCAATAACACCAAAAAATCAGAACCCGAATGAACATATAGATAAACTTAACAAATTATTACATGAAACAGAGAATCTTTAAATAAATGCAAACCAGAAGAATATTTAGAAACCCAAAATGTAATATCTCTAATTTATAAAAACCCAGAACGAAATCATCATAAATTTGCACCCGAAAACATGGAAAAACAGAGCATGTTTTCTCAAAATAGAAATTGAATTACCTCAAGAAAATTTTGATTTATGTAATGAGAAATGTGAAATGGCTATCTGTATGTATAGATCTCTATCCTCTTGTGCTATGTATGGAGATTTATTGTAATGATTGTGAGGACAGAATTCAAATGCACGGTATTGTGTCCTATTTTTTTTGTCATTCGTTATTTCTACCTATGATAGGACGTGTTTGGTTTCTCTTCAAGTAATTCCTTTTAATTATTAAAATCTCCGTTA